AGTGTATGTTTGGTGCGGTAGGGGGCCCAACCTCATATTCTTTCATAGGGCCCAAAATTGCTAGCGGCGCCCCTGGTGCCAAGTATTCACCGATTTTAAGTAACAAATGAGGACATTACAAACTTTACTATTACTAACATTTTACTATTACTAACATTACTATTTACTCCATTTATCTTTTTTTTTTTTTTTTTTTTTTTTTTTTTACAAAATCTGTCACTGGGGGGTAGGCCGACCTTATGAAAAGTACTAAACTGCACCATTTAGGTACTAATATGAAAATTTAACACACTCTTTAAGGATAAGTATGGTACAAAGGTGTACCAGCCAAGTGACAGCTTTTGTACCTTTTTTTGTGTGTGTACTTCTGCTTAAAATTATAACAAAGCCTATTATTAATACAAAGCTAATATAAAACTGATAAAACATACATAAACATTTTTTTTAAATTTAAATCGACCTAGTTTTCACCTAAAAAATAATAATAAAATAAAAAAATATTTAAAAAAAATCATAACCGTGTGCATTAACATTCTAATGATTGTTGTGGTAGCTATAGTACTGGCAAAAGTGGTTGCAGTCAGTTTCCAAATGCAAGACTGTTTGGAAAAGTGGGACTGAAGACATTCAGGGGTCCTTGAAAAGTAATAATCTCTCAGAATGCGTGGAGATTTGTAAATGTTTGGGTTTATAATAATTGCTACAACCCCTGGTATTACAGTTATAAACGTATGTATCATTTTTACAGTAGATGTCACTAGTTCAAATTGGATTAGAGAAGATGCATCATTTGTTTCCTTAAACCAATAAAATTATGGTTTATTAAAGAAGTAAAACGTGCTGACATTACAAAGTTAGTAGATACAGTAAGCTTTAAGGGAAATATGCTGTCATTTCAGACAGTTTCATTCAGCAAAATGTCTCAGTGGGGGTTAATTTCTGCATCTCAGCTACTGCAGGCGTCCTCCTCTTGTGTTCACCTCTACGACCCATCAGATAGAATATCTCTCCTAGATTTAAAGCTAAAGACACACATGCCACAATGAGCATGAAGACAATGAAGATGGTCTTTTCAGTTGGGCGGGATGTAAAACAATGCAGACCGACTGCAGGGCAAGGATCTACCTTACATTCTAGCTGTGTGGGCATCCAAAGGCCGATTAAATAGTACTGGGCCACAATGAACCCGGCTTCAAACAAAATGGTCACAATGATACTCAACATATAGCAACCAAGCAGGCTCCCTTTGTAATAAATCTTCCCGTTGTCATCAGTGTATTTGGGCAGTTTTACGCCACGTTTCTCTGCCTGGTTTTGTAAATGCAGCCTCAGTTTGTTTTCCTTATGGATGACGTGCAGAACGTAGCAGAAGTAGACCAGATTTGGCGTGGCCACAAAGATGATTTGGAGCACCCAGAATCGCATGTGGGAAATGTTGCTTTTATTCTTACCAAATGTAACATTGAGGTAAGAATAAAAGCAAATGTATGGGTTTTACTAGTAATATACAGTGTAGTAGAAAAAATGACACAACATCAGCATAAATATAATATGTTGTGTCATAAGAAAATAATTCCAATAATCAATAAACAAAATAGTTTAATTAATTCCATATCTAAGGTTAACCTACCTTTTATATGATGGCAGGTCCAGTGAAACTTGTTCTTTATTTGTGTGCAGATGAAAAGATGATATCAGAGCTTTCAGTCTTTCAAGTTCTGTTGAATTAAAAATGCTGAAGTTTTGTAATTTTTATAAGTGTAGCTTTCATTTAGTGTCCACCCACAAAAAAAAATAAAAATTCTGCATTTCACTTCAGGTCAATGAGCACGTACTCACTCCCCGTCTAAAATCACACAAAGAGATTTACATCACAGCAGCCTTTACATTGTCCAGCTATGACTCAAGATGTTGCAATACATGAAACCAACAAATGTTAAAAGTCACCTCCCACATGATCATGAGAAATGTGATGAAACAGTCGTTTCCATAGACAGTGCTTTTCAAAATCACAAAAACACACAAACACAATGTTAAAGGGAAAGACAGTTTGCATTTTGCAAATTCGGTTTGAAAAAATATCTTATGTCATCCAAAGCATTTAAGATGCAGTCCAAGCCCATGATCATAACAATATGTTATGCTGGTTTTACTTTGTACAGTTATAGGTTTATACAATTAAAGTGTTTCAAAAATATTTTAATTTCATATTTTAATATTAATATTTTAATATTAAATTAGTATTTAAATATTTTAATATATATTTTAATATAAACGTCTGAGTGCGATACAAAAGCAAATTAAGTATTTGCATAAAAGCATCTGTCAAATGAATAAATTAAAATGCAACTTTCTACAGCATATATATAAACATGTTAACATGTGTGTCTGAACTTTGTCCAGTTATCACGTACAGTTACACCACAGCTATTTCTTACATTCTCCCCAGAAACCATAATTATGGGAAAACAGGATTTTTTCTTGAGGTTCTATGAAGTGGTGTTGTACAGTGCAGATATGGTTGTTCCCACTCAATAAAACACACACACACACAAACACCACATGAAAGGACACAAATTTTGTGCTAAAAATGTCCTCACCCTCAACATCCATTTATATATCCCTCAGATAATCTTCTATATCATAATTGAAAGACTGCATCCTGCTCAAGGGAATTTCTATGATGCAAACCACGAAAAGAAGACAATCACATAATTTTCCATAGAGGTTAGCCTATATGTGTCTCTATGGTCATTGTGAGTGGGCTATGGGGGTTTTATTTGGAGAAATGAGCTACAAACACTACAAAAATGACCTGGAATGACACGAATCAGTGAATCTTTTTGAAATCTGTTCATTTACAAGAACTGTTAGAACTGACCAATTCACGAGAATGAATCTGACTTTTCCAAGTGACGTATGGGAGAGTGGACCATTTCGGAACAACCGATTAATTTGAATGAATCAGAGCAAGAACCATATTTCACATGAACCTTCAATTGGACCTTTTAGATGAACCGATTCACTGGACTTTCCAGCACTGTATACAAGAGACCGAGAACATGCATTTACTTCAGCTTGCTTGGCATTGTTCGATGCAATGCAGTGCTACTTTAAAAACAGCGATGTTGCGTTTGTTTGTGCTACACCGCTAATAGTTGGAAAAAGCTTGGTATTGGAAAAAATTATATTTTATAAAGCACTTTAACTACTGTAACTCTTCTGAAACATATAGGTAGTCAGAATCGTAAAAACACCTTAGCTTGGCCTATTACATCAATAGAAACATTATTCTGAAACAGCCATTTAATATAGGAATCAGATCTTCTGGTTTCATTCAAATCTTCTCATAATTTTCCCCAAACTAATGTTAATATTTACTTTCAATGTATCTGATTGAAAGGATTAGCTAGCTCTTTTAGTTTTCAGTTAATAATATAATGATGTGACATCACAATATGGGGGTGGTTGAAGCTGGTAATCATGATGAGTTTGGTGTAATTTGCTGATTTTGCTCTTACGTCATTTCCTAACTTCTCTGCTTCTATTTTCAACAAGAGTGGCAATAAGTAAGTCCCTGATGGTTTATTCATCAATGCCAGTGCCATATTTGAGTTTTAGTTCTGTCACTGCAAGATAACCTTTCTGTCAGGGCCTGAGACAATATTCCTTTTGATCAACGAGAAGGTTAGGTAAAATCTATAGTCCATTAGTTGCCCCCTGGATCTCACGTATGACATGAGATGTGGCCGTGTCAGTGTTTTATAAGATTACTCAGAGACTCAAGACAGCACTTTCCCAATATTGGTTGAGTGAGACTGCACTTTGTCTAAAAGCTTGGAGAGGAATCCCCAGTCGCCCATGCTGACCTGGAAATGAGAAGAATTTTAAAGGAAACTACAACATGGGAGAAAAGGAATTACATATTAAGAATGATAAGAATTATTAAAATAGAATAAAAAAATCACTCTAGCCATGAATATAGCCGTATAAATATGTATTTTCTAATCCTTAATATTTATGTAAATGTTTTAATTAATTTATAGTATTTTATAATATTTATAATATTTTATTATATTATTGCAATTTAAAATAAGTTTCCTATTATAATTTATTTTAAAATATTACCCCCCCCACAATTACACACAATTAAACAACAATTCCAATCCTTGAGAAATAAAACTCCTTTTTACTGGGAGATTACACAAGGCTTTACTTGAAACAGTTGTTACTTGAAAGAGGTTGTCAGGGTCAATGAGTGTTTTATGCAGAAAATTATATTATGTGACCCTGGAGCACAAAACCAGTCATAAGTAGCACGGGTATATTTGTAGCAATAGCCAAAAATACATTGTATGGGTCAAAATTACTGATTTTTCTTTTATGCCAAAAATCATTAGGATATTTAGTAAAGATCATGTTCCATGAAGAAATTTCCTACTGTAAATATATTAAAACTTTATTTTTTGATTAGTAATATGCATTGCTAAGAACTTCATTTGGACAACTTTAGGCGATTTTCTTAATATTTTGATTTTTTAGCACCCTCAGATTCTAGATTTTCAAATAGTTGTATCTCGGCAAAATATTGTCCTATACTAACAAACCATAAATCAATGGAAAACTTATTTATTCAGCTTTCAGATGATGTATAAATCTCAATTTCGAAAAATTGACTGGTTTTGTGGTCCAGGGTCACATATGTGTGTTTTTTTTTTTTTAATTAAAACTAATAGATTTAAACTTTTTTTTGTTATTTAAAGGTCACTTTTAATGATTCATGACTTGATTTATTTTCACTAAACTACCTAAACTTTAAATCAATCATTCCTTAGAAAATATTTCATTTAAAACTATAATGAACAAAACAAAGAGTTGTGAAGTGTTTTTTTCCCACCCACAAATTATGACTATTCCTCAGTTGTGACACCACTTCCACCACAATTACCGATTTTGGCTCCAATTTCTCTCAAACTTCAAGTCGCCTTAATTTTTTAGCCTTTTTTTTTTTTTGACAATAAAAAGTCAGTGAACATATTTACCAAGGAGACAACAGTGTCAATGAAGATCTTGAATGAAGATGTGATCCGTGAAGAAAATCAAGGTAAATATAATTTCGTTAGCATCATTTTCAGTCAAGCTTTGTCAATTTACGCAAAAAGTGAGAAAATATTGTTTATTTGTATTAATTTAGCAGAAACTTTTATTCTTTTTTCGGGACAGTCACTCTGAAAAAAAAATAAATAAATCAGTGGTTAAATGTCTTCTCAAGGCCACAGCAGTGATTGTTGTTCTTCATGGGGCTCAAACCCAGCAACCTTACCAGCCCTGACCTTTAGCCACTACACCACACCACCATCACATATAGATGCAGAAACAAAGCTGATGATTTAGCTGAATTTCACCAATGTGTGAAAGTGTGCTGCAACTTAACACATGACGTGACTAATTGCCAGTGGTTCCAACAAGAACGAAAATAGAGAAGTGAAAAATTCTTGTTTAAACTGGTTTTCTTCATCATACAGATGGGTGGAGCGTTCAGTGTCCCTTCAGATATAGGTAAATCACATTTCACAGGGAGAAGATGACTGATCGAAACAGTCAAGTCTTGTCTGAGGGTCTGTGACCTCATTGAAACCGACAGATATTTCCCATTTTAATGAACCATTTTCTCAGGAAGCTGAAGAAGGAAATATGTTTATTTAAATACATGCTTTAGGATCTTTAGTAGTAGTTGTAGCTTTACGGGAAATTACCATTCGGATCCATTTGTTCAGGTAAGAATAATTTGGAATTTGTTGGAGTATGATTTTTTTTTTTTTTTCTTTTACTGCAGACATATCTTTATAAAATCTTACTGAAAACATTGTAGAAACATCACTCAAAAGTAACTTTTCTTCAACAGATTATTGAGTTATTTAATAAATAACTTCGTTTTCTCATTTATTTAAATATTTAAAATATATTTTACAGATAAAACAATTTTAATATCTTAAATAGAATGAGTTTAGTTTTTTTATATCTTATCTTTATTCAGTCTTACAGACAACATTTTAGAAACATCATTAAAAGTAACTTTGCTTCAAAGGTTTCAGGTTTACTCAATAAACCAAAACACCACACAACCTGTCTTCGATTTTGTTCTAAACCGTGATTATGATTTTATATTTTTATAGGGTGGCAACAAATACTCCAAACTTACAAGGCACGACATTTTTTCTCCATAATATTATTTGGTGAGTATGAAAGTTGTATAACGGATAAGATATTGAGCAAGTTCTTTAAGATTTTTGGGAAGTGAAAACAACAGCAAAATGGTCAGCGAGCAGTAGTCTATGAAAATCTCAATCTAATCGCTGCAACTGTTCTTGTCATTTTGATCAGGTCTGTATTGTTCTTTCATGCTGTAACGTTCATGGTGGCCTTAAGGTGACAATTTCCATATTCCGTTGTCTTTTTGATTATAACAAGAACCTGGTTTGCTTATAACATGGCTTAAAAAAAATAAAAATAAAAAGTTGGGAAAAAAGGCCAACGTGAATTCACTCTATTGACCCCCAAATTGTTTAGATCACCATGGTTTCTCATTGAAACTAATTGTGGATAATTCAATGTAAATCTCCTGTTTATCCTCCAGGGAAGCCCTGAGCAACCAATCATGGGAGATTGGGGATTCCTCTCAGCTTTACTGGACAAAGTACAGTCCCACTCCACCGTCATCGGCAAGATATGGATGAGTGTCCTCTTCATCTTCAGGATTCTGGTGTTGGGAGCAGCGGCGGAGAATGTGTGGGGTGACGAGAGATCCAACTTAGTATGCAACACCAACACGCCTGGTTGCGAGAACGTGTGCTATGACTGGAAGTTCCCCATCTCGCATATTCGCTTCTGGGTCATGCAGATCATCTTCGTTTCCACTCCAACTTTGGTGTATCTGGGCCACGTGGTGCACGTCATCCACCAAGAGAACAAACTGAGAGAGGAGCAGAAAAGAAACCCGATGTCAAAGTCACCAAAATATACAAACGAAAAAGGCAAGGTTGAAATCAAAGGAAGCATGCTGGGTAGCTACTTGACCCAGCTGTTTATTAAAATTATGTTAGAGGTGGCTTTCATCGTTGGACAGTATTATCTGTTTGGATTTATCATGGAGCGTAAGTTCCACTGTAAGCAGTTGCCTTGTACGGTGGAGACAGAGTGTTTCGTGTCTAGACCCACAGAGAAAACGGTCTTCATTATCTTCATGTTGGTGGTGGCATGTGTGTCTCTGGCCTTAAATGTTCTAGAAATATTCTATTTGCTTTGTAAGAGGATAAGTGGGAGAAATAAGAAATATAGGAATGCAATGTATACTAGCGATTCCCATCATCCTTCACCTTTTTCAGTAGAACTTGATGCTGCTAATGGAATGAGACACAATGAGTTAAACATGGCCTTTCAGAACAGATGGGGTCAGAGCAAAGGCAGCCTTGATGGAGCCAAACCTGAGCCATAAGGCAATAAGTCATCGTTGTAAGATGATAAATGCACATACCTAATATAATCAACTTAATTCAACAACTACAATTTAATCAACATAACAAAATATTGTTGATTGTAACTTTTGCTAACTGAACACTAGATGGCGCTGTAATCTTCTTGAGTTGCACTCACTAACCCTTATCTTGTCACTACAACAAGGCCAGTGATTTTTTTTTTTGTCTCCTGTACTGTAGTTTTTATATCCTTTTAAAATATTATTTTCGCAAAGCATGCACCACGAAATATGTGTAACCAACTTCTTTGTTTTTGTGCAATAAGAATAAACAGTGAGATAAGTATGAAGATGGCTGTGTGAATCAGTTTTTTTTTATAAAGAAGGGACACCAGGGACAAAGCTATTAAATTATTATAAAAAAAACTGTAAATATACACACGCACATGATTTTATAATATTTAGCACATATAAAATAACTTTTAATATTTACTATAAATATATAGGCATAGAAAGAAAAAGGCAGTAAAAAAAAAAAAGTATGATTTTATATTCACATTCTTTACCTCAAGAAAACAAACGTTCCCTCTTAGGGTCTATTCTTTTCAGATAATCATACAAACTTTCTGACATAGCCTACTTCTTTACAGATTACATATGTAGAATCAACACGTCAGATATGCCATTATATCATAATATATTTGATGCATTTATTATATTATGATTGTCAAAAGTTTTAACAATTTCATAAAGTTGTCGAGAGAAACATTTGTTCGTCTGAGTTGAAGAAGCTCACCAAGTGAAAAACTGCACGAGGTGGACCTAAAAAAAAAAAATATTTCTTGTGATGTAGCCAGTCACGTGACTTTGCCAAACTTTGTGCGTCTGCTTTCAACTTTCTTCGCTCTGAGTCTCTTATAAGCTGGGAAAGCTTGACAAGTGTGCCTCAGTTTCTCCAGAGTCGCTTACTTGGATTTGGTGACTGATCTTCAGAGGTGACGGAGCAAGTCCCTACAGGGCTCTCCTTCTCTTTACTTCTCTCCAGGTACGTTTTTTACAGAAAGTCTTACAACTTTGTAAAACGTTTTATTTATTTATTTTTTCCATAGCGGCACTAATATTCAGAACTGAGCAACACAGTGGAAAGTTACATTTAAAGAATTGTAAAGTTTTAAATGTCTCTTGTCATATTAAATTTGAACTTGAGCAACCTTTGAGTGAGCTTTGAAGTTAATGAAATTATCGGAATCTTTATGATATGATTCATATAATATATCAGTAATATGGTTCAATATATAATATTTTCGCTCAGCATTGTTATTCACGTCTGCTGTGCAGGACACGTTCGGTGGGGAAAAAAAGGTAATTTAATGGGCATTTTAGTAATTAAAACAAAAATGAAATAACAGACACTTTGAAAAAAAAACTTTGTGTCTGGAAAAAAAGTTTTGAAGAAAAACGTAAACAGGAATCAAAAACATGAATTTAATTGTAACACAATTTTATTTATAGAATAAGATGAAAAACAACTTTGGGTCTTTTCTTCCTTTGTTTTTACAACTATAAGACGACTTTCTGGTGAAAACCGGTCTTTTTCGACTGCGTCGTGAATAGCGCCGTGTAGCGGGCGCTGTTCAGTCCCTCAATACAATGGTAAGCGGCTTGACTGTTACAGGACTTGATCCTGTAATTCCCATAATTCCCAGACATTCCTACATTATTTTGTGCAATCAGTGTAATTAGATTTTTATATGTTTAAATAAATGTAACAGTTATTAGCTATTTAGCTACCTAAAATTCAGTAGAATGTGACACTGAGCTATTAGACACAAATCAAATTTCTGCCCATTTGTTGTCTAAACAATAAAGATACTTAAAAAAAAATAATAATGTTTTAGTACAATTTTTTTTTGCCCACGTGATGTCTTTAATGGACTTTTAACACTGTCATAATATGCATTCCATATACCCCATTTAAACTTTTTATTAGTGCCACGAGATCCACAAATTGTCCCGGATATTGAAGGGATGCTCTTCTTCATGCCTGCACCACATGAATCAGGCAGTTCTTTAGAACTTCTTAAACTGTTCCTTATGTTATTTGATTTTCCATGCAATGCAGAGGATTTAATTAAAGACTTGCTGCCCAATTATATTCAGATTTCAAGTGAATGTTATTGTTCATTATTTCAACATCTCTGATGTGACTGGAGGGACCGGCGTCTTGCTAATTAAACAAGGATCTTTAAATTCTCCAGTCAAGCAATGTCCTAGCTGCTTAGTCACGTTTTCTTCAGAGATGTTTAAATCAGCAGATAATGACTCACTTTCTGTCAAGGTAGCATGTGCTTGAGAAATTTTATTTCACAAAGCAAAAGACAGCAAGTCCTGGCAGCTATCTTTACAACCCTAAACCAAACCCCTACGTGTGTGAGCCACATGTTTGTTATCTGAGCTATCCGAGACCAGGTGTAGTTTATATTATGATAATCTTGAGGTCACTTTTCATGATTATGTTCATAATAACATCCTCAGCAGGTGCTGAAACTAACACTTTCATCATGTGCTTTATGTACAGAAAAATACATTACATGTGGCCACTTAAGCCACACTTCAAAATGTATGAATTGCTTTGCATTACATAACTATATATATATATGACATCCACTAAAAGTGATGGACTGTTTGGTTAAAAATAATAGAAACAAAAAATCAAATTGAAGTATTATCCATTCAGACATATCACTTTGGTATTTTGCATCTAATGCAATGACATTCAGACATATTCAAGTGTCACTGAAGTGTCCAAAAGTGTCTAAATACATTTAATTACATCTCAGCTTTCTATTTTCAGCTAGAACTCCCTCAAGATGGGTGACTGGAGTGCGTTGGGAAGACTTCTTGACAAGGTGCAGGCCTACTCCACGGCCGGAGGGAAGATCTGGCTCTCCGTGCTCTTCATCTTCCGGATCCTAGTTCTGGGAACAGCAGTGGAGTCGGCCTGGGGTGACGAGCAGTCAGCTTTCAAGTGCAATACTCAGCAGCCCGGTTGTGAGAATGTCTGCTATGACAAATCATTCCCCATCTCGCACGTGCGCTTGTGGGTGCTTCAGATCATCTTCGTGTCCACGCCTACGCTCCTGTACCTGGCGCACGTTTTCTACCTGATGCGCAAGGAGGGGAAGCTCAACCGCAAGGAGGAGGAGCTTAAGGCCGTGCAAAACGACGGTGGTGACGTCGAGCTCCATCTCAAGAAGATTGAGCACAAGAAGTTCAAGCACGGCCTGGAGGAGCACGGCAAGGTGAAGATGAAGGGTGCCCTGCTGCGCACCTACATCGTCAGCATCCTTTTCAAGTCCTTCTTTGAGGTGGGCTTCCTGTTGCTCCAGTGGTTCATCTACGGCTTCAGCCTGTCCACTGTGTACACGTGCGAGCGATTGCCTTGCCCTCATCGGGTGGACTGCTTCCTCTCCCGCCCTACGGAGAAGACCATCTTTATTATCTTCATGCTGGTGGTTTCGCTTGTCTCACTTATGCTCAACATCATCGAGCTCTTCTATGTGCTCTTCAAACAGATCAAGGACCGTGTGAAAGGTCGCCCAAACCAGTTCCCCACCGGCACCTTGAGCCCCACGCCAAAGGAACTGTCCACAACCAAATACGCCTACTACAACGGTTGCTCCTCGCCGACCGCGCCGCTCTCACCAATGTCGCCTCCGGGCTACAAACTAGCCACCGGCGAACGGACCAACTCTTGTCGCAATTACAACAAGCAAGCCAACGAGCAGAACTGGGCCAACTACAGCACAGAACAGAACCGTTTGGGCCAGAATGGCAGCACCATCTCCAATTCGCACGCTCAGGCCTTCGACTACCCTGACAACACGCACGAGCACAAGAAACTGACACCGGGCCACGAGCTACAGCCATTGGCGTTGATAGACGCTCGGCCGTGCAGCCGTGCCAGTAGCCGAATGAGTAGTCGAGCAAGGCCTGATGACCTGGACGTCTAGCTGTGCGACTTGGTGCCACGTCACGACACTAGAGGACTGACACGGGCAATGAGACGCGTTCATTTCCTGTAATGAGGGGGCAGGGCTTCATCCGCTCAAGTTCCTCACACTAGACTCTAGTCGATACAGAGACATAAAATTACTCACAATGCTGGAGGTACTATTATGAATAATGATGTTGAAACTAGCAGAGCTAACATGCCCTAACAACCGAACAGCCAGGGGGACTCGAAAGGGGCACAAGTGGGGCCAAACCTGGCACGTCTCTCAATTCTGCCCACCAGAATATGCCTTGGTGATGTGATTGATTTTGTTGTGCTTGTTAGTATTGGGTTTATCAAAATGCCACACAACGATTCCATTTTCACAAGCTGCACTCCTACAGTAGATGTAGATTTGTGTTTTAACCCCCCCCCCCCACAGTCAATCCTGGTTATTACGTCACGTGTTCACGTGACCTCAGATCCACATTGTCCAACAGGGTGTTAGCAGTCATGAATTAATATTTATTTATTCGTAACGATTAACAGGATATCCACCACTAGATGAAGATTGACTACTACTCAAGGTCATGTCTACATAATTAATACCATCCAAGTGCATATTTATTGACAATAATCCAAATTTCAGCAATACATTCATCAGCAAATACGTTTTTTTTTTTTATTAATCACAGTGGACTGTCATTTTCCTGATAAACTTTGAATTTATGTGGTGTCGGCTTTTGTTATTTGATGATATTTGTTGTTTTTTTTGGGGTCGTGGTATGCAACAGAAATGTCTATGTGTGGACTGAGCTGCTGTACCAACTGTTACACGGCTTGATTTTCTTTTCTGCATTTTGATTTTTGCTGAAATTATCCTTAATAGTGTGGGAGAGAAAGGCTTATTTTTGTTCTCATTTTAAATGTCATTCTTTTTCTTTTTGAAGGGCAGATGGAATGAACTAGTTTTGAATTAGAATAAGTAGAATTAATGTCTTACCTTTGGAGTGAATGACCTTTTTAACTCAATGTAATCATTGCTGCTTGAGAGATAGAGTCTTTGTACTGTAAATCAAGCTAACTATGTCACAAATGTGAGTTTTTTTTTTTAGAAGACTGCTTTTTAAAGCTGGACTAATATTTAGTCAGTTATATTAAGAGATATATGCCAGCGTAGCTCCACAACTACCAAACACTAGTAG